TGCAACTCAAGAAAGTTTTTCCTGCCTGCACCGCGACCACCTACGGTGCAAGTAAAACAATCTTTAATCAACCTCTACGCGTCGCTGCCCAATTCTAGTTTGCCGTGCCGACCTTTTCCCCGGCCCATGTGCCCGGGCTGCTGGCCACAGCCCCTCGGCCCCGACACCTCCTACTAAGAAAGTTTCCCAATACCTAACCTAAATTTTCCCTGCTGCAACTTGACACTGTTACTCCTTGTTCTGTCATCTGCCACCACCACCACCGTCTAGCTCCATCCTCTTTGGAACCCCAGTGAAGGCAGCTATTAAATCCCCCTCAGCCTTGTCTTCTCCAGACTAAGTAAGCCCAGCTCCCTCAGCCTCTCCTCATAATGCATTTGCCCCAGCCCCCTCACCATTTTCCTTGCCCTCTGCTGGACTCTCTCTAATTTGCCTACATCCTTTCTGTAGTGGGGGGCCCAGAAATGGACACAGCACTTCAGATGCGGCCTCACTAGTGCTGAATAGAGAGGAAGAATCACTTCCCTTGACCAGCTGGCAATGCTCCTACTAAAAGGAGCCCACTATGCTCTTAGCCTTCTGCACAACAAGGGCTCACTGTTAGCTCATATTCAGCTCACTGTCCACTCTCACCCCCAGTTCTTTTTCTGCAGAGCTGCTGCTTAGCCAGTCAGTCCCCAGGCTGTACCACTGCATGGGCTTTTTCTGTCCTAAATGCAGGAATTTGCACTTGTCCTTATTGAATCTCATGAGATGTGTTTTGGTCCAATCCTCCAATTTGTCAAGGCCACTGTGAATCCTAGCCCTACCGTCCAACATATCTACTACTCCCCCCAGCTTGGCATCAATTGCAAATCTGCTGAGGGTGCAACTCCATCCCTCTTCCAGGTTGTTGATGAAGATACTGAACAAAGCCAGCCCCAGGACTGACCCCTGGGGCACTCTACTTGATACCAACTGCCAACTAGATTAGAGCCATTGATTACTATCCTCCAAGCCCAACAATCCAGCAAGTTTTCTATCCACTCAGTCAGTTTTCTACCCAGTTTTCTATGATGGTTGAGGAGCCTTGCGTCTCCTTGCAGGGCCTCAGGGCAGGCTGGAGTCCCAATCCTATCACAGTCTTTTTACCATGGGCTCTGCACAAGGAGTTCTGGAGCCAAGCATAGAATTTTTTCTTCTCCCACTTAAAAAGCCACAAAACAAAACACTCCCCCCCCCCAAAAAAAAACAAAAAAAAAACAACCCATCATAATTATGGCCAGAGCCCTGAAAGATCATTTAAGGCAACCAAAGCAAACCACTACATAGATTCAGTGCTGGGATGCCCAAAGGACTTCTTTTTCATGTAATAACCCCTTCTGCCCTTCACAAGTGTCCTCCATCCTGAATAACTTGAAGGACATAGGAACATCATGCCTCACTACTGTGTTTGGAATACACCAATGGGAATGAAAAATAAGCAGTGTCACCAACAGATTCGAGGCAGGGTGCCATTTTTATGTTGACTTGCATCTACAATGACAATCCCCGTCATAGTGAAAACCCAGACAGAGGAACTGACAGAGCAAATCTGTGATCTCTCCAGCCTGACCCTAAACAGCAGCTGGCTGCATCACAGAAAGAAGCAAGAAACTGTGTATAATGAAACAAGAAGAGAAGGGATCTAAGAAGCACTTACCTCTGGCTCATCCCGCCAATCAATATTGAGCTCCCCTTCAAATCCTTTCAGAGTCAGCCCAAAGCCTCTCCTTCCCTTCTGACTGGAGGCCTCAACAATGTCTTTCCTCCCCTGGCCATATTTCCCCAGACCTTCTCCTTCACGGAAGCCCATTTTGGCCTGGAAAACAAAGCGAATGGAGGGTGTTGAAAGCAGTTGGACACAAATATAGGGACACCTGTGGCCGAAGGCCAGAAGGATAAATAATATTGCACTGTGTAGTGGTGACTGAAAGATAGTGTGTGCGCTTAATGAATCTCACTTAAAACTGTTCAGGACTCTCCTGCCAGCTCATTTCCTCGATCAAGTGGGAACCAGATCTAGAGAAATAAGTTTGGCAAGATTACATCATTAGAAAAGATTCAGCTGTACAGGAGCAACTCACCTGGATGGCAAAGCAATAAGAAGCTAGAAGTTCCAAAGGTTGGCATATCTGTACACTCTAACATACCAGAACCCTAGCCCTGTCTTCCAACTTATCTACTATTCCCCTGTTAAAACTTCACCAAGCAGGCACAGGACAAACACAGGACACTCTGCTGCTGAAAAGCAGCTCTAATTCTTATGTGAAGAAAAGAAGCTTCAGTAACGGACACTTCTTAAGGCTTTTCTTAAAGTGAGGGTGTCAAATGCATGACCGAAAGGCTGGATTTGGCCCACAAAACCATTCCATCTAGCAGGCTAAGTTGAGGGTGGGGTGGGGGAGGGGTGGCCTGCTGCAGAATTCAGCACCCCTGGGCCCCAATGGACATGGCTACTACAGCAAAGGGGTGAGGAAGGGGTGGTACAGCCCTTACACACCTCACTGCTGCCTGACCCCCACCACCATCCACAAACCCATGACAACACCACTACATGAACCATGACACCACTGGCCCCCAGAGGAGCCACCCTGGGAGGAGCCCCTGCAGGCCAGATCTGTCCCAGGGTTAATTTGACACCCCCATTTTAAAATTTACACCCAGGGTGCTAGCTCTGTCCAGTACAGGGGAGTAGCACACACACATATGCACACGCACGCGTGTGCACACTTGCACAAATACGCATGCACTTGGAAAGCTTTGATCTTAATCAGTAAGCTGTCCATTTCCTTCCACATCTGAAAACCAGCAAAAGCCATTACCATTGTTAATTATTAACCTTTACAAGAAAGGCAGTAAAGTAACATGGTGGCTCTTCAACTGTCCATTATACCCGTCAACAAATTCCTAAGAAGGATGCATGTAAAATGTGATGATGATTGACCCCAGTGACTCCTGCAGCCACTGAATTTTGAATGGTTAGCAGGTCTCACTCCCCTGGACTACAGTGGTACACTCAAAAGGAGATTGGCACTCATCTTGAATGCTCCATGGACCACTATCAGGATCAGCAGAGCAATGCTGCCAGCCTGGCTTGCTGGCCTTCCAAGGAACTGAAGACTCTGCAGGCTACAGTGTGGCACAGGCAGTGAGAAACATCAACTGTGTAGGCAACTATTATCTAAAGGAGTGTAGGTCACTGGCTTGTTTTACCTGTTTGAGAAGGACTAAAACCATTCCCAATCTCTTCAGGCCCTTTCTGTAGGGTAGTTTATTAACTCTGACCCCAAAACCACAAAGTAGCATGAAACAAGATGGTTCCCATAGCCTTTCCCCTTCATGCTCCTCTCTGTGTTCCACAGCCTGCCAAAGGAACCAACCCACTTCCTGCAGCAGTCCTCCAATCAAGCCCACTTTGCTGTTTTTGAGCATCACCAGACCCCCACCCTCCCAGCTTGGTTTGATAGCTGAAGAGGCTTGGCACTTAAAAAGTTAAAAACCACCGTTACAAGGAGGATCACAAAGGGAGGTCGCTTTCAATTAAAATGTAGGCATGTACCTGGAGGACAAATCTCCAGAAACAGAGTGCAGCCTGTACATAAATAACACACGGCATGAGCGCTCAGCTGAAAAGTGCTGCACCATGTAAGATTGTTCCGAGAGCCTCTTTACAATGCCCTTGGAGCCAATTAATAAAACAAAGTCTGAAAGCTAGGTATAGACATGACCCTGCTGATGGCCAGAGTCAACTTAATTTGTGCAATCCTCTACTTGGGGGCCTGATTATGTGTGTGAGTGCGTGTGTGCATGCATGCATGAGTCACGGCAGCAAAAACTCACACTGAACCCACTGTGCTTTACCACAAACAGCACCAGCACTCCCCCTAGCTGTCCTAGTCAGCATTTGTGCTAATCCTGTATCTTCAGAGGAAAACATGGTATTTATGCTCCTTGCCTGGATACGCCTTTGATCTAAGTTGTGTATCTGCCCATACAGATAGAAAGTTAAGTCTGGGAAGTTTCAGTGGGTCTTGTGCTGCATGAAGGGAAAATTATCAGCAATAATAAAAGTAGTAGTTTAGAAAGTCAGCTCTGAAGCTCTGGCAATCTGACACATCACTGAGAGCTTCTCCAGTTACTTCCCACTTGGAAAAAGGTGATACATGGCAATTACAGTGGGGCAAGATACAGGCAGGACATCCAGCCAACAATTAACATTTATATTTAAATGCAGGTGGCACAGGTTAGAAGGGATATGTTTCTATACAGAGTATGTGGGTGCAGTGCAATTGACTGGCACCTGAGCGGGGAATGTAATTAGTTGAATTGAGGTCTTCCTTTTTCCTATGAAAGCTAACATGGTTCTAGCCTTTAATCAACATTTAACCTTTGCAGGGACACAATCAGCACTGAATGTGATCAGTGCAGCCAGAACATCTATCCTAGTACATCCTAAGTTTCACAGGTGTAATGATGAATGCCAGGAGCACCCCTCACATAGACTATACTCTGAACTATGCCCTCAGACACTTATCAGCCTGCTCAAAAGTAGCAGTGACCTACCATGAGCCTCTGGGAGACGCTGTTATACATGGAGTAGCGGGAAGAGGTGCCCTCCACGAGAGAATCCGGTTTGTACTCACTGCTGAAGACTTGATGCTTCTCATCACTCTCGCTGTCAGACCCACTGCTGCTACTAGAAGACTCTGAAAAAACAGAGGGAAGACGTGAACAGGCAGTTATTTCACTGGAACTCAAAATTCATACTGTAGGAAGGCAGGGGGAAGGGGGAGAGGATCTTCAAGAACTAGGAGGTGTTGGGAGAATCCTGAAGACTTCAGATACTAACCTCAAGAGCTGCTGGCTTGAAGAGTTGGTTTGCTTGCTCATTCTTCTGCAAAAGCAGTGAAAAACAACTACTCTGACCCAGCTACATCAGCACTATCCTGGGTGTAAATATATCTCACTGACACAGGCAGGGGCTTACACTGGTGACCTGCTAAACACAACAATGTAAAGCCCACTCTCTGCTGCAGGTCTACACTAGGAGTTTGTCTGGTTTGACTATTCCCTTCCTCTATCAGGTTATGCTGCACCTTACCCCACCAAATCTTTGGCTGACGTAACACAGAAATCCCCAGGCAAAAAGCTTGTTTGGTGCCAAGGATGGAGCTTTCCCTCCTCCTGGACCAAACCCCATTTTTCACTGAAAAACAGGGGGAACTGCACTGAGAAGTAGGGATACTTAAGCCAGACTAAAGAGCTGTAGCAGCAAGGTCCTCTGACTACCTTTCTGAAAGAATGCTGTGTGAGGTGTGGCCCCATTGATTCTGCTCCTCCACAAAGAGTCCCTTCCCCATTCACACAACCCTCTAGCCTCTTGCTCCAGTGATTCAACTCAGTCTTTTGTGCTCCAGGGTTGAGAAGCAGTAGAGCACCCAGGCAGGAAAAGCCACTTTTAGGAGTTGTGGCTGGGGTTCCCCAAACTGGCATTAGTGCCCAGGCTCCCTGACATCCTCAAAGCAGTATTTCTTTGCACTACCCATACTCCCAAATGCCAGCAATAGCACAGGGGCAGATTCAAACAAATATATCTGCATCACTCACACTCAAATTTGGAACAGTTTCTTCACAACTGTTAGGGCTAGACACAACACCTTTTACAATGAGAGCTGACACTAAAGAGGGACTGAAGTCATTTGAGTGAGTGAGAAAGTATTCTGCTCCCCTGGTCAAGTACCTTTTTCCAGCTCTGGTTTAAGCGATCACAGAAGAGCTCTAAAATCCTGAATAAATTCTTCTCCCTTGAGCCACTTCACACTGGCTCCCCCTTACAGCTCACCTGAGGACTTGATACCACCTTCACATCACTTTAGATTGCCTCAGCCAGCTGAGGAAAGGATTCTTTTTCCAGCAGCAAGCTAAAAAGCAGCAACCTATTCTTCTGATTCTCTATTTTTAAATCCTTCCATTTTATCAGCAGAGCACAGGTGCTTCAAAAGATCTTGTGACCTCACAGCCTACATGGCACAGTGCCTAGGCAGGAAGAGAAGAGGCAATATAGAGAAAAAAAAAAAAAAAGAAGCCTAAACCCTCAAATAACCTTGCTCCAGGCAGGTTTAAGTCCAACCCCAGAGGTGTGTTGCAAGTCCTGTTAATTCAAACTCCACAGCAAGGCAGACAGAAGGAAGCTATCCAAGTACTACGCCAAAGGTCCTCAACATCAACATGTCCCTTCCTGGTGACATAACAGCTCTTTCAGGGATGTCAGGGTGCCAATAGAGTATTTTTAGTAAATGCTTCATAGCTCTTTCCACTAGCTGGGATCATGAAGCAAAAAAAATGCACACCACAGCCTGCCTCACAAACTCCACATCTGCCATGTTCCAGTTAAAAGACCCCACAAGTGAAATTTCTAAGCCAAGCTGGCAGCTGCCATACCTGGAGCTTAGGAAGAATTCTGTATTGTAGGGCACAAAGCCACCTTCTCTCCACATCTTGCGTTGGAAAAACTGACTGAGGCTCATATGTTCTCAAAGCAGCAAGTGTGGCTGATTAATTTGGCCACAGTTCCCCTCTCTGCCAATGAGAGTCACTCAGCTAATACCTTAGAATCAGCCTAATACCTTACAATCAGCCATTCCTTTTAAGGGTTGTTGCCAGAAACCATTGTGGGTTTTTACCCAGGCAGAAGTCAAGAGTGAGAAAAGCTAGCCCATATTAAAATACCAACATTACATAAAGAGTACAAAACAAGTCAGGATTTACAGGTATTTGGGAAAGAAAGGAGGAACAAAAATGATTTATTCTTCTTACAACAGGAGATTAAACAAAAGAGGAAACAGCCGTACTTAATAAAGTTCCATAAAAGCCCTAACAGGCAATAGTGTAATGAGAGTATAATTAACTGGAGTAATATGATCATCCTCCTAAGATCACTAATCTATTTAAAAATTACTTTGCCAGAGCTAAGTGACAGGCATAACTGCCTTTGCAAGGACCTTATCAGTTAAACTGCACAGCATTTGTCACTGAGAATTCAAGATGTTATTTAGGATTTTCATTTAAGATAGTTTCTCATCTGGACTAATGAAGCAGTTACTCTCATAGATCTTGGAAAAAAGGGATGTAGATCTTCAGGAAGAGATAGGAAATTGTCCAATACATCAATAGAGCAGGGCTGCAGTATATTATCTACAGCCACTTCAATAAAAAAAAAAACAGACACAAATGGATTTTACAAAACACAATCCCACCAATTAATTAATATACTAAATTTTATCCGAGTTACCGACAAACAGTGACTCATTAAAGGAGTTTAAACATCAATCCTGCTTTTAGAAAAGTGTTTGCCCAAGAGGAAAGCTGAGGTTGGGGGAAGAACTTAATCAAGTCAGCAGTCAAACACAAAATGAAATGTAACTCTGCAAGACTTGCCTTCACCCCAGTAATCTGCCTCCCTTCTGCAGTGACATCTTCACGGCCACAAGCTGCATTGGTAAACTATGGACAATGCAACAAGCCTACGGGCCATACTTTGTCCACTCCGTTAAAGGGTTTCCTCTAGACACAGAAAGACATTACAGCGCTATCAAAGCTCAAGTTTGTTCTGTCCAGCATCCAAAGAGATGTACAAGTTGTCGGCTCCACACGAAAAAAAAGAAATTGGACATTACCGTTGCCTGGCAAAGGAAAGCAAGGTTGGATATGGGCCTTTCAGTTTCCTTCTGATAGACGGATAGATTTTTTTTTTTTTTTTTTTAATCTTCCCCCAGTCCCCTTCCCCCTAGAAATCCAGCAATAACTATGAACTACTGAAATCATCCTGGGTATGCCTGTGCTCCTTCCACAGTGCTCCTGAGAACACTACCAAAAACACCCCTATGCTTCCACTCTGCACATACCACATCCAGAAATGAAGTAGTGAAGCTGCCCTGAGGGTCTCACAGCTGCTCTCAAGCATGGCAGAGACTCAGGGTTGGCAGCAGAGGGTGCCCTTAGGGCAGTTTCATCACATAATTCCCAGGTGTTTACAGAACCGAACTGTCAGCAGCCCTCTGGCTGGATAGGGCACCCCTCCCAATCACACCTTCAGTTAATCTGACTGCACCCTGCTTACTTGTGGCTTGCTTCCTTTTCCCATGTATTCATTATAGGCCCCAGCTTCTGAGTGTGACTCTCAAAAGTACCCTCAAGCAATCCAGCTTCCTTCCTCTTAACGCTCATTAGACACATTTTCCACGCGTCGTGCAAAGCAACAACCAACCAAGTTCTCAAATTCCTCAATCTCTCATCCTGCAAACGCAGTCTCCAGCAGTTGATTCCCTACTGCTGCACGTTCATAATGCAAATACGCCTTTAAAATATTTCTGATTCGCTTTCTAACAGCTCAGGGTAGTCACTGTCTATATGCCCTATGCTGGCAGGCTTACGATGCCTGCCTTTCAGAGTTGGGAACAGAGATACCTAAATTTGTAACTACCCAAGTACCCCACCATAGTGAACATACAGAATAAGATGGAGAGCCAACCTGCTCCAACAAAGCCCAAGGACCCCAAACTTAATTTCCTACATCCACCTCTATATCTTTCTGACTTCAACCTAAGAAAATGACACAGCACTGAGCATTTCTTTTTTCATCTCAGGATATCAACGCGACTCCTAAGGAATACGTATTACCCTCACTCTATGAGAGAAACCAAGGTAGAGAGGGATTAGATGTCACAGTGACTCTGTGGAACTTTATTCAAGACATCTCTCAAGGGTGTTTACCACCAATCCCCAGCTCAAACCACTTATAAACACTCCTTTAATCTCCCTATGCCTCATTCTTTCACATCTGTAAAACTGGAATAACGTTACCAAACTGACTTTACAGAGCAAAGTTATGAGGTTTCGTTTTATGAGCATTCACGAGCACAACCACTCGCTTATGGAAGTTCTCTCCCTGCTTTTATCCTTAGGCTAGGAAAACCCACCACAGCTGAAAAGAGCAACATAGCAGATTTACAATCAGAAACTTTACAGATTGACTTTTATTAGTATCAAGCGTTTGCCACCTGTTTCGCGAGTTTACTGTGTGCCCCTAACTTTTCCCTTTCCCAGATCCATACAGACCATGCATTGCCAAGGTCTTTTCCCAAGGCTGTATATATTTCATAGCAATAACTTTGAGCATGACAGGAAAGTCAATATCTGGTAAATCAGACAGGATACTGTTTACACAGCACCACAAGCAAGGACCATCTCTGTTCTAAGAACATAAGCTTCTTGAAGCTGAGACTAACTAAATAAAAAATATATAAGGTAACCCATAGACAAAAAAAAAAAGACAAATACATGAATCAAAGCAAATAAAGCTTGAATACTCTATTGTTAACTTCAGATCATGTTTAAAAACATCCAAATGAGATGACTTGAAGAAGAGAAATTCTCAGCCCAGTTTACAGACAGAAACTATGTTGGCTTTCCTCCTAGAGTTTGCATTTGTGGTGATGAATTAGATACCTAGAGAGAGAAGCATTCTTTCTTCAAGGTTATCCTGAAGAGAAAAGTATTCTTTCCTGTGAGGCCACTTCTTGACAACTTTAGCACCTAATGCCACTCCTGACCTTACCTTGGGTTGCATGATTGCTAAACTGAGTGTCATCATCTGAAGTGGAACTGAGGGTTAATCCCAGATCCTCTATCCTCTTCCTCTGCTTCTTCTGGGGGCTGCTAAATTCAGGCTCCGCTCTTCTCTTCATTTTTACTGCAAGAACAAATTATACACAATGAATATTATGCAAGTTCACTTCCTCTGGTAGTGGGATGTAGGTATGGCATGCTTCATCACTTCAGGATACATGGCATTTCAGGGTATGTTGCATCATTCTTTAATGCTACAGGTAACGTGTTTTTGTTTCCCCTCGATCCCACTTGAAGCTGTTTACCTAAAAAACCTGCAAACAAGTTCTTTTCCCAGTTGCTCAACAACTTAATCTGTAACATTGTCTGAAACCTTCCAAACAAGAAAAGATAATAGCTAAAGCAAGCCCTTGCCAAACTTAGGAACTCAGGCATTGGATCCAGCAGTCACCGACCTTTCCCGTGAGGCATGTGACCAATTCACCCTGCCCCCACAGCAAGACCACAGAAAGCTGCAGTTCAGCTTCCACCAAACACTGTTGAAGCAGCAACACCACTTCGCACTGTGTCTGTCTACGTGCATGTAGCAGGTTTTTTCCACCATAGAAAATGAGGGCTGGAAGGGACCTCAGGAGATCATCTAGTTTCAGGTGTGTGGGAGGCATGGGGGGCCTCAATCAGCTCCTCGCAGGCTGGCACTACACCAGGAAAAAGTCACCATTTCCCATGTTTTTCTCCTTTAAAGAACAATCCATTTTTAAAATCTATTGTTCCACTTTCAAAGTTTGCTCACGACCCTTTTATATATTCATGCAACCCACTTTTGGGTCATGACCCATGGGTTGAGAAATGCTGATGTAGTCCAACCCCCTGCTCAAGGCAGGACCATCCCCAACTAGATCATCCCAGCCAAAGCTTTTCCTAGCCAAGTTTTGAAAACCTCCAGGAATGGGGATCCCACCATCTCTCTAGATAACCTGTTCCAGTGCTTCACCACCCTCCTAGTGAGAAAGTTTTTCTTCATATCCAACCTAAACCTCCCTTGCTGCAACTTGAGACCACTGCTCCTTGTTGTATCATCTGCCACCACTGATAACAGTCCAGCTCCATCCTCTTTGCAACACCCTTACAGGTAGCTGAAGGCTGCTATCAAATCCCCCCTCACCGTTCTCTTCTGCAATAACTCAGAAACTCAAGACCTTGTGGGTATCGTGGTAGGGAGCAAAAGGCAGGGGGAGAGGGAAGCACTTCTGCCTGCAGAGGGGACAGGGGCGCAGGCCCACCCCAAGGGTTGCCATAGCAATCTGCAATGCCCAGGCCCCTCCGCAGGCAGAACCCTCCTCCCCTTTGCTTAGTGCCTAACGCTGCTCTGCCTGGGCCCTGTCTTTAATGGCTCTCTATGAAGCTCTTCCCCGCTCTAGCCCAAGTCCCCCCCCGGGGGCAGTTACGGAAGCCCCCGAGGGTCCCGTGCGCCGGGAGGAACCCGCTGAGGGACCCAGAGGGGTTCCCGGAGCGCCCGCCCCGCCGACGGGGCTACGGGAACCTCAGAACTCCCCTCGCCCCAGCTGCGACCCCCTCCCCCGCTTGCGCGCGGAGGTGGTAGCGCCCGAGTCTCAGAACACCCTCCCCCGCGCGGAGGTGGTAGCGCCCCCCCGGGCGGCACTCACATGAGCAGGGGACAGTTAGGCCAATACCATGTCCCCAGGCGGCGGAGGGAGGTGGCAGCAGAATGAGCGGACTGCCGCCCAGCGCGCGCCGCGCTCAGTTTCGTTTCTCCGCTGGCAGGTGCCGGGGTCCTCCCTCCTAGCTCGCGCGCGCCACGTGCGTCACAGGGGAAGGCCTGGTCGGCGCCTGCCCCGCCAAGAGGGGGCCTGCAGGCGCACCGGAGGCAGCCCCGAATCATGGGCGGGGCGGCTGAAGGGGGTAGGAGCGGGTGCGAGTCCTGCGCATGCGCGTTGGGAGCGGGCAAGGCTGCCGGGGTGAGCTGGTTGCCATTCCGGCGACTGGGAGAGGGCCGGAGAGTTCCCGCTCCTGCAGCCTCCCGCAGAGCTGACTCACTAGTCAGACCAGGGTTTCCCCTCCAGGGCCATTGCTAAGGAGCAGTCCGAGGTGGCCAGCTGCATGCAAGGGGCTCCCGTACGACCTGCGGGTCTTGTTTGGGACCCCCTGGTGTAACCATGGCCCTGACTTGAGCAGGGAATTGTACTGGGGTACAGACCTCTTGCTGCCTCTTCCAGGCTGGTTTCTAAATAGGAACAGGATTTCAGTAGCAATTCCTTTGAAATCAAAGTTTGCTAGTCATTAGGAAAGAAAGACCTTGGGGGAACACTATCTCAGGAAGAAAAGTCTGAATGCTTGTCCTAATGTTAGATAAATTACAGCTTCAAATCATTATTGGGTGTATTCTGCTCACAACTGTTTTGCTACAAACCCCCCCCCAATAAAAATAAAACGTTGGAACCGTTTAGAAAAGTCTGCTTGAAAAGGCTGATGTTTCACATGTGACATATGTCAAAGCCTACTCATTTCACATGTAAAAGCGTCCAGGTTTAAACAAAATGGTCCTGCAAAGCCCGCATATAATACAGCTTCTCACACAGTAAAGATAGAATAAAGCCTGTGAGAATGCATGAAGCCTGGTAAATGAGGAGTAATGGCCACAAACTCCTGGAAGATCGATGCAGGCTCAACACTAGGAAAAACTTCTTCAGTCAGGGTGTTCAAACTGGAATAAGCTCCCTCCAGAGGTGGTGCAATCATCTGCCCTAGAAATCTTCAAGAGGAGACTAAACTGCCACCTTGCTGGGATCACCTGATACCCAGTTGTCTTTCCTGCTTGGTGCTGGAGGCTGGACCCGATGACCTGGTGAAGTCCCTTCCAGCCCCTTACAATCTATGAATCTATGAAAGCCTCCAACAAATTCTGTGACAGCTGCCTGCCAATAAGGCATGTGGCAAGGGGGGCAGGGTGCAGAAAAGAGATGGACAGCAATGCAAACTAGGGCTACAAGCATCCGTGCACCAAGATGAAAGGATATCTTGAAAGGATAAGAGTGATCTTCAGCATAACACTGGAGGCCCTGGGGATGCTGTCTCTTATGTTTCCTTCTGACAATTTTTTATCTTGCTGAAATTTGTGTTGCAGTGCACATGCACTTAGCAGGAAAGCAAGAAATGCAGGGGGAAAAATATGAGTCCTACATACTATTGCTCAGATCTGGTCATCTCTATAGTAGGTTCACATGCATTAAGTTAAATAAGGCTACTCTAGGCTTTGCCAGGGAATAAAGAGGAGAGGAAAAAAACACTAGGTTTGCATTTTCTCCCATTGAAGCCCATCCATATGCAGCAGTTGTTACAATGTGCCTCCATACCAATTGGCATGCAAAAATCTCCATGCAGTTTACAAACGATAGTCTGAAACACATTATCAAAGAGGTTGATGTACATTATCTCCCTATTGACAGACCAGAATTTGTGCACTAACAACCCAGCAGTAACTCAGAAGTCAAGTCCCACTCCCAGATTCTAAGGTACAGGACATGTAGAAATGAAGCCAACTTAAAGGCATTTTAAAAATGAGTGCATCAGTGCTGACAGAGGTTCAGTATGGAGAAGATTTTATTCTTACCTGTCAGGTAATGCAAATTTACAAGGTGCAAATCAGATGACTTACCTAAGAATCATCCAGTGGAAGACTAAAGCTCAGGCAGTAGATTGTTGGAGCCGAGATGACTATAGTTCCTTCCTCAATCAAGGATGTTACCATATAAAGAATTAAGTGATAACCATGTACCATAAAGTGTTTGTGTAACAAGCACATGGAAAATGGCCTTCCTGAAGAAGAAGAAATAACCTCACAGTAGAGTTCTGACATTGGGTACAATATCTTGCTGAACAACTGCCTAGTTACTGACCTGGATTCCATCCAGGAAGAGCACACACCAACTGCTGCAGCTTCCTGAGCCTGACGAAGGGTTTTTGAACCCGAAAGCTTGCTTAATAACTATTCTCCAACCATTTGGGTTGGTCTAATAAAAGATATCAAATTCACCCAAGGAACCTTGTCTGCCTAGTTACTGACCTTACATCCAAGCTCAGGTTTACCAAGGACATTCACTAGGTAGGTTAATTCAAGACACAATAGCATTTATGATAATTCTTTTTCTTGTAGACGCTGTGTAGTCTGCCAATGCTATAATGTAATATCTAATACCAACTAGCCCAAGTGAAGCTAATTATGTCTTCATATCCAAAGAACCTGAAATACTGCTTCTATACCACAGTGGTTGTTTGAGCTCTAAGGTGGAGTTTGTCCACTTTTTACATGCTTGTTCACTGCATTTTGTTTGTTCTGCTCCCTGGAACAATAATAATACATCTTAAAGATGTGGGGGTGACAGGTGACCATAGGAATTTTGATATTAATAAATACACCTGGGTGAGCAGTGCTTAGACTGTGCTTGGTCTATGGTATTGGATCATCTGTCAGTAATACCTGGCAGCTCCAAAGCTGGAAAGGGCTCTGTAACCTAAACACCTGCAACTCTTTGCAGGAAATTCTAATTTTTTTTTCAACTCCGCTTGCATGTATTGCATTGTATGAAACACTCCCTAAGGCAATGGTTTTCAAGCTTCCTAAAGTCACAAAACCCTTTCATATCACTTCTGCTGTGAAACCCCTACCTCCAGCTCTGTGGGTCACGAAAGCTGACACTGAGCTGGGTAACCCAGCTTGGCAATGGCAGCGCACCACCTCCCAGCCTGCTCTGCCATTGCCTTCAATCTGTTTGCAGAACCCCTGATGATTTAGTGATATCCCAGTGTTCTGTGGAACAGTTTAAAAACCACTGCCCTAAGACCATATACCAGTGCTAAGGTGTTGGAAATTTGCCATTCATGAGGGGCAAACCAAAGAATCCAAAAACATCACAGGGTTAGGGTCCTTACCACCTTGCTAAGCTGAGGGTTTGTGAATTAACCAAGGTATAAAGATCTGTAGCAAATAGCTATTCAGGACCACTAATGTGCTCCAAATCCTGTTTCAAACTGCATCTTCTTCTCAGATGCAGGACAGCTGATAAGCACCTGGAGTGGAGAAGTGCCATCCTTTGAAGCGTAGACAAGGCTGTAGCAATCAAGAGTGGTTCAGCCTTAATTTAGCAACATGCTGGAAACTTAAGTACATTATGAACTCCCCAGGCACTAATAGCCGAGGTTCTATTTTTATGTGTTTTTGAACTGGAGGGGGTTTGCCATAGTGTATCTAGAGGTGTTTATCTATTTGTGGCTCCTTGGTTAATTGTGCTCAAGCAGCTCCCAAGTCAGTCAAGACCAAGTGTCACTGACTTACACCCAAGAAAATTACTGACGATATTGGAAGGTGGAAAGGATGCATTCATCTTACTTTTTAACACTGTTCTTTAATTGGCTTTAAGGGAGATGGCTTCTCAGACACACTGACAGAAAAGGTGACTTTACCCACTTTGCAACAGATGTAATTAAAACACTGACAGGTATGGGAAAGAAGCAAAATAAATACATTTAGTAAAATGAAACCAGCAAAAAAAAGACACACACACGCATCATCATCATGGAAAAAGTATGTACCTGGTAAAAGACATCTATAACCCTGGATAAGCTTCTCCTAAGTTGGAAGGCAACTAAATCTCCTACTTTCACAGAGAGGCCAGGGAGGGTCAGTGTCAACCATTCACAATCTTTTGGTGACCTACCTACCTCAAGCACTTCTCAAGAGGATCTGAACTAAAGTAAGCCTCTGAAGGGTCCATGTAGAAACCAAATGTTAAGAGCACTGGTAAGTGGGAAATCTCAAGAGGGGGGTGACTCCTCCACAAGAGAAACCACTAAAGTTTAAGGAGGACAGAGCTGCTTAAACCTTATATTCTGGAACAGATATCTGGACCTTGTCAGAGTTTAATTGATAAGACACATCCTGTTAAAAGAACATATTCTTCTGCCATAGCATTGCCCTACGCACATCGCTGTAATGAGACTTTTCTTTAGAATAAGATAAGGTAAAAAAAAAGAAGGAATGCTACAACCTAAAGGTTCTGCATTTTCTATATTTACTTACATTACTGGCATACTGGTCCCTGTGAATACAGGTCAGCATAACCTGTGACATTTGTTGTACAGATCCCCAAATGCATGAGGTTTTTTTCAGAATAAATTCATAAAAACAGTGCCTTTGGCTAAAATGTTTCTATCGCTACTCAACCAGAGCTATTAAAAAGAGCAATGATAAACATGGGTCCAGATCATTCAAGTCTATATTAACTACCAGAAGTTTATCTCACTAGTTGTAACAGGCAACACTATAGAACTTGGTGTATTTTGTCCTCCTTAGAAACAAGAAAAGTATAAAAATGAGAAAATACATGCACATGGAAAGAAAAATATTACATATGAAAAGGTTCTCCCCATCT